TATTTATGTTTGTGTGTGTGGGGGGGGGGGGGGGGGGGGGTGGGGGGGGGGGGGGGGGGGGGGGGGGGGGGGGGTTGGATGTGAGTTGAAGTGCGCGTGGGTTGTAATTGATGTGTCCGTTTTTTTCAGGGTACAGTTGGAGCTGCAATCATTCATCGTCATCATCACCATCATCATCATCATCATCGGCATTATCGCCCGCCAGCATCATCAACGTCATCCTCCAGCCTCGGAATCGTTGTTATCATCAACAGCGACGTGATCATCGGCGCGATCAGAAACGATTCTGTAGACGGCCACGGGCGTGGAGAGGCGGCGGCGGCGGAAGGCGCTGTCTGGCAGCGGCGGTGAGAGTACAAGGCATGTTTTGCACAGGGCGGAGACCAAGGACAACGACGCAGCTGTGTCGATGCTGTATCTGATAATCCATGTGCGATCTGTCTGTCTTTATCAGCTAACTGGCTGTTAATTAATGGGCAAGCATTTCCCTTCCCTCGTCAAGGATTTCGGTAATTGTGGTTTGGTTCCCTCAATGGAGCAGGTGGATCCTGGGCGACTCGACATAAGATGGGGAAAGGAGATGGAAGCTGGGTGCATGTTGTCCGCTCTTGGTTATCATTCTCTTTCTCTCTCTCTCTCTTCTCTCTCTCTCTGTCACATGGATTGTAACCTTGCGCTCGCCTCTTGGCGAAGGTTCCGGCGGTTCCTATCACGTCCGATCTGATCGGGATCGGGATCTCCTCCCAAGGCGGCCTGCGGGCTGATGGTACACGTGGCAAGGATCAATAGCACCGACTTGATGAGGTTCACCAATGTGTGATTAATCAATCTCATGACGAAGCTTGAAGGGCTGGGTCAATGCTAACCATGAGATCAAACCCGGCGACGGATCAAGTCATACATACCGGTTATATGCATGAATGAATGTGAGTGAATGAATGACTCACGGCAACGCGGTCGATGATTCTTGCCGGCGGTTAGTGATGTGAGCAGAGGCTCCGCGGTTAAACACGACGCCACCTCGATGGCCGCGTCGGCGAACGGCACGTAAGCAGGTTGGATCTCTCTCTCTCTCTCTCTCTCTCTCTCTCTCTCTCTCTCTCTCTCTCTCTCTCTCTCTCTCTCTCTCTCTGTGTGTCTGTGTGTGTCCATTGTTGAGCCAGCCATGCTGGTGTTGGCGGCGGGGTCTGCCCACCGCTGTCTTTTACTGTCATTTGCTCTTTTCCCGTTGATCGACTCTCTTTCCTCGGATTTGCCCCCGCGCTCCTTCGCGGGGGGAAACCGAAAACGCACACGAGAAAGGAGGGCAGCATATTCTGGCTGGTGGTAATGCACGAGGCAGCAGGATTCTCTCGGTGTCGGTGGTAGAGGAGTAGGTAGGTAGGTAGGATTGTGTGCGTGCAGTTTTTCTCTCAGCAGTTGTGCTGCGGCTGGTACAGTCTTTAGCTGCTGCTGTGCTAATAAACCTCCCGGTCGTCTGCGTCGTACACTGCCGTCTACAGGAAGGAAGTACCCCGGGCGGAAAGTACATGATAATGCCGTCTTGGTGGAAAGAAGGCTGAGTGTGTGTAGATGGGAGGAGGACATCGCCGGATGGAAACGGCGGGGAGGAAGTAGATGGACCATCGAGGGCGATCGCAAGGGATGATGGTGTTCTGGCGGCCGTGGGATTTCGATCTCTATCGAAGTTATCATGGTCCTGATCATCATATACGGCCGTCCTCGAGAGGGAGGGGATTGATTGGTGTAGTGGAAGCGGTGACGTGGCATGCTTGGCGGGCGGCGAGAGGCGGCGTCGAGCGTAGGCGGCGGCGGTCCTGGTAGCGCGAGGCGTCGTCGGGTGGGTTGTCGTGAAGATGAGCCAGACCGTTGTTCTGCTGCTGGTGGCGATATCCGAGAGCATCCTTCTGGGTCTTGCCGTTGTCCACGCCATCAGTTGGTTATCGTTCGCTGGTGCTACCATCGCATCTTTGCTGCTGACGGCAGGGATGGCGATTTTCTCTCTGGGCAACGGGCTCATCGGGCGGCGGCTTCGCGTTTTCGCCGTGGCTGTGACCGTCTTCGCCGATTACAAGGTGACTCAGCAGCGTGCAAAGTGGGCGAAGTCGGATGAGAAGCAGGACGAGCTGTGGGAGCGCGCTCACGAGCGCAATGCCCGACGAGTGTTCAAGGCGATTCTCAAGCTGGAGGGTCTGTGGGTGAAGGCGGGCCAATACCTTTCTACCAGGGCGGACGTTCTGCCGGAGCCGTATATTCGCTGCCTACGACTGCTGCAAGACAGACTCCCCCCGCGTCCTCTGAACGAAGTCCTGGCCACGATCGAGAGTGAGCTGGGCAGGGCCGTGCATTTGCTGTACGAGCGTTTCGACAACGAGCCGCTGGCGACGGCGTCCATCGCTCAGGTCCACCGCGCTCTGACGAAGGATGGGAAGGATGTTGTGGTCAAGGTGCAGCACTCGGGGGTCAAAGAGCGGATACTTCAGGATTTGGAGAACCTGCGGACGATCGTGGAGTGGGTGGCCTGGTCAGAGCCGTCGTACAACTTCGCCCCCGTAGTCGACGAGTGGTGTGTGGAAGTGCCCAAGGAACTGGATTTTGTGAACGAGGCCGAGAACACGAGGAAGGTCGCAGAGAATCTGAGCCGTCCGAAGGTCGACTTGGAGATGGCGGCGGCGCCGTGCTTCTGCTCGGCGTGCTCGTATTCTTCTGGGTCGTCGTCTTCGTCGGGAGGGAAGAACCACCATCGCTGCGAGACGCAGAGAAAGCAGGAGGAGATCTGCGTGGACGTGCTGCTGCCGGAAGTGGTGCAGGCGACCGAGAAAGTTCTCGTGCTCTCGTACATGGAAGGCGTCCGATTAAACGATGCAGAAGCGCTGGAGAAGCTGGGCGTGGACACGCAGGCGCTGGTCGAGTCGATCACGCGGGCCTACGCGCATCAGATTTACATCGACGGGTTTTTCAACGCGGATCCTCATCCCGGCAACTTCCTGGTTAGTCGCGAGCCTCCCTTCAAGCCCGTCTTGCTCGACTTCGGGCTTGTGAAGGCCATAACGGCGAAGATGAAGGTTGCCCTCGCCAAGCTGTTGGTCGCCGCGGCGGAGAATGACTACGCGGGATTGCTCAGCTCGTTCGACGAGATGGGACTGAAGCTGAACATGGACATGCCGGAGGACGCGATGGCGATCACCTCCTTTTTCTTCCGCAAGGCGGCGCCCTCGCACGATAGCGGCGGCGGAGGCGGCGGCGGCGGCGGCGGCGGAGGAAGGCGGCAGAATGGCAATAACGCCGCGGGTAATAACAACGATGTGCCAGGGGGCACGCGCGGGTCTTCGCCTTCTCTTTCTAACCCCCCTTCACTGCGGGAAGATGACCGGGGAAGGGGCCCGAGTTATCGGCACGAGGAGGCGAACGCGTGGAGGAAAGATAGGGAGGACAGGATGCGGCGGCGGCGGATGACCGACGGGCGAAATCCCCGCCGGAATCCGGTCGATGCGTTTCCAGGAGAGGCGGTGTTCTTCATGCGCGTGCTGAACCTCCTGCGCGGCCTCTCGTCGTCGCTTAGTGCTAGAGTCATCTACCTTGACATAATGCGGCCGTTCGCGGAGGCGACTTTGTTCAGCGGCAGCAGCTTGCTCGGTGGGTGTTTACAACCCTCGGGCGGAGGCGGGTTTGTCTTGGACACCCCCGTTCGAGGGGACGTGGACGCCAAGACACGCCAGCTGCTGGCGAAGCTCGGGAGCGAGGGGCGGATCCTCGGGATTCAGGTCTGCGCGTACAAGGACGGAGAGATTGTCGTGGACACGGCCGCCGGTCTGATGGGCAAGTACGATCCCCGACCCGTGCAGCTCGATAGCTTGTTCCCCGTCTTCTCCGCCACGAAAGGCGTGACGGCGGCGCTGGTTCATTGGCTCGCCGAGCAGGGAAAGCTCAAGCTGGACGCACCGGTGACGTCGGTATGGCCGGAGTACGGGAACAATGGCAAGGACAAGACCACCATCGCGCACGTGCTGACGCACCGAGCAGGGCTTCCCAACGCTCTGACGTCGTTCCTGATCGGGTCCCCCTTCACCATGTGTAATTGGAAGGACATGGTGCGTCGGATTGCCATCGAGCGGCCGGAAACGGCCCCCGGCTCGCAGGAGCAGTATCATTACCTCAGCTTTGGTTGGCTGGCAGGGGGTATCGTGGAGAAGGCGGCAGGGAGGTCGTTCAAGAGGGTGCTCAACGAGGCCTTCACCAAGCCGTTGAAGGTAGAGGGAGAGTTTTTCGTTGGCATCCCGCCCGGCGTCGAATCCAGGCTCGTGACCCTGGCAATCGATAAGGAAGACGGACGAGGTACTACTAGGCCTCCTAACCCGCCGCCGGCCAATAATCCTCCCCCCCCCCCAGCCAGGAGTCAGAACGAAGTGTCACGTGGCGGCGGCGATTGGCCCGTCGCCGCTGCTCGGTCATCCTCGCCTGCTCGGCAACGGCATCATCATCATCAGCAAGAGCAACGGCCTCATCATTATCATCATCAGCACCAGATGCAAGCTCAGAAAGGAGAGCAAGCTTTGCATCATCGCCAGGAAGACGTACGAACCCCGCCGTCGCAGATATCCTCCGCCTCCTCCCTCGACGCACGAGCCTACGCTTCTCCGGTGTTATCTTCTTCGAGAGCGACCTCCTCCTTCTCTTTCGTGACAGCTTGCGTGGATGTCAACGGAGATGGCGACGGCGAGGAGACCGTGCAGCAGGAAGGAGGGGGTGCCGACGAAGAGGAGGGAGAAGAGTTCTCCTCCTCGTGTGAGCTGTCGGATAGTTGCTCGGGCGGAGCCGCGACCGCCGCCGCAGCCACTGCCGCCGCCGCCGCCGACAACGCGCCAAAGGCGGTGGTGGAAACGCCGTTGCCATTGTCTCCTCGTCGTCAGCCGACGACGTCGGCGGCGACGGTTAGTGCTGCTGTGAATGTTGCGATGGCAGGCCAGACTGCGGCTGCTGCTGCTGTCGATGCGCCTTCTTCTCGATCCTTCTCCCCTAGTTTTCTAGGGGGTACTGGATTGGAGGAAGCGTTCATGGCAGTGCCCTTGCTATTCAACGCGCTCTTCATTCGTCGAGCCTGCATTCCTTCGGCAAATGGACATTTCTCGGCGCGGGCGCTCGCCCGCTTCTACGCTATGATCGCGGCTGGAGGCAAGGTGCCCTCTGTCCCGATGAGACCGGAGGAGCCGGGTATCTGTAGCAACACGGATGGCGGTCTTGCCGCCGAGACGTCGTCCTGCGGCGGCTCAGCCTACACTTCTACGAGGGATGGTGGTGGGAGAAGAGATCATGGAGAATTGGGTGGGGGAAGAGGATGGGACTCCCGGACAGCTACGACTGCTACTGCTGCCAACGGCAGTCCACCGCCAACTTCGATGACGACAACAGCATTTGCCGAACGGGGAGCAGCAGGAGCATCCCGACCTGCGGCGTCGCTGACCTCATCGTTGTGCTCCGATGCCGCGCTTGTTGAGTCGACGGCGGTCTCGCCGTTCTCCTTGCATGGCAAGCGGGGGTCGTTTGGATCTGGCAGCGGCAGCGGCAGATGCAATGGCGCATCCACACCGACTCGTCAGCAGCAGGACCATACGTCGTTACCTTCGTACGCCAATGGTGATGTGGAGACTCACCTCGAAGTCATGAGTCCAATCAGTGATGGGTTGGCCGCTGGAGGCGGCGTAGCTCCTTCCTCTTCCCCCTCCGCGCCCACCTGCGCGACGCCGTCCGCTCCAGGCTTCACACCGGTGCCCCCTGGCGTGCCCTCTTCCCCCATGCCCCTAAAGCTGACCCCCTGCAGTAGCAGCAACCCTCACGGGGCAAGGAGTCCGGTGGCGGTGCATCGGGGCCGATCTCCCAAGTCCGCTATAATGGTATCATCGACGGAAGTCGGGACTGAAAAGACTCGCAGGAGTTCAAAGGGTGTGGCATCTGCCGCAGCTTCTTCAGCAGTGTCCTATAGGACGTCAACGGCGGCCAACGGATCGGCTCCGACCACTCCCAAGTCTGCTTCCTCGTCAAGGCCAGCTACGCCCAGAGGATGGAGCGCCAACCCCTTCTCAAAATCCGGGAGGGGTAGCAAGCCTTCCACCCCGAGAGGGAATAATCACGCCCCGGCGTCGGACGCGCAATTCGTGGTGGATATGGACGGGCTGTCCAAGCTAGAGAGCGGCACAGTGTTCAGTGGGGGACCGCGAATCATCGATGCTATGCTTGGCATTGGAGAGTATGCGAATCTGTGCACGGAGAATGGCATGTTCGGCCTCGGCTTTCAGAGGTTCAGGACGGAAGGTCAGGAGCAAGACGTAGTGCCGCCGGACGCTCTGGTCGGAGAGGAAGAGAAGAATAGAGAGAAGGGGAGGGGGGGGAGGGATTCGCTGTCTCACGAGAATGATTCTTCCCCCTGCGAACACCGATCTGATGAGCGAAGGGTGGAGGAGGATGAGGCGCAGTCGTCCTCGGACACGGAAAGAGGATCACCGACGCGCTCTCCGAGTCCGGCTCCTGCTAACGACCGGGACCGGCGACATAAAGCCCACGAGGGGTGGGCGTTTGGGCATGCAGGTATAGGAGGGACGATCGCTTTCTGCAATCCTGCCCACAATTTTGCCATTGCCGTGACTATCAACAAACTTACAGTGACCTCCGAGGTAACTGCGTCAGTGATCAGACTGGTGTGTACCGAGCTCGGTGTCCCTGTTCCTGACGTCTTTGCATCCAGTACCTTCGCCAGCGCCGAGGACCGCGCACACGCTTCTTCCGGACTAGACGGGATTCAGATAGATGCCAATGGATTCGAGACTGATTGAATGAACGCATGTCAATAATGAATGGAGTGGCAAGGTAGGCGATCGTTCGTCTGCGCTTTTCCTTAAGCTGCCGCTCCATATGGCGGTCTCCTTACTTCATTTGATGGATAGTGGGCGAGAGAGAGAGAGAGACTTGACCATACCATAGTGAGTGAGGTCCGGGCGGGGATGGTTTCCTAAACGGTCCACTCCGTTATAATGTCGTTGAACAGCTTGGGCGTTTAATAGTTTGTTTAGCAACTGTAGAGAGCCCCCCTCCCCTTCCCCCCCTCTTCCCCCCCTCTTCCCCCCCTCTTCCCCCCCTCTTCCCCCGGCCACCCGGTCCCCCGACCCCAGGGTCCCCCGCCCACTCTCGCTGCCACGCTTGGACCAAAGTTTGACAGTGGAAACGTTTGGTTGCGCGTCTTTGGCTCGGAGGTATTTGGGGTTCATCATACTTTTTCCAGTGTCAATTTCAAGCAGGCGACGCAGTTTGTCATGGCGGCAAATCTGGGATTGATGCAGGAGCTCGGTTCTGATCGGGAGAAGATGGATGGATGAGGATGGAAAGAGTGTGTGTGTGGTTGGGGGGGGGGGAAGGGGGGGGGGGGTGTTGAGGCGGGGGGGAAGGCAGTAACGAAGGAATGAGGAGAGGGAGTGGTTGTCCTGACATGACATTCTTGAGAAGGCAGGCCTACAAGATTGCTTTGCTTTTGCAGGTACTACTGGAACCAAGAGTCGGTGAGGGAAAATGGACGAAGGGAGGAGATAGGTGTGTGCTTGGAGCGGTCACAACACGTTAACTTTGTCTGTTGTCTGCTCCTGCCAGCAGCATGCGGAGGCGGCAAGAGACATGGAGGAACCTCTGTCGGGAAAGGAAGGAGAACTGCAGACAGTTGAAGGTAACAAATGCCTGCCTGCCTGTCTGTCTTATTGTTCTTTTATCCTTTTCGGATGAGGAGTTTGAGATCAGTTTGTTTGACTCACCAACGAGCCTAGCTCAGTTGGTACACCCATCAAGTGTTGAAATGTAGATCTGAGTTCGAATCCAGATGGATCAGCTCAAGGTCAGTTTGACTCGGTTGTGTTGTTCTAGCAAAGAGTAAAGAGGCATGCTTGTGTTCAGAGACTGGGAGATGAGCCGGTTGGTAGTTTCGATCATTGACGTCAACGATAAAGCAACGAAGAAGAAGAAGAAGTCGAGAGAGTGGAGGAGAGGATGTTGATGATGTTGCTGCACCCGTATCTCTCTGCGAAATGGATTGGCATGATGACGAATGCCCAGCTCCCACACCGTTTGGTTGAACAAAACGTTTTCCAATCTCTCCTCTTTTCTTCTTGTTCTTCCGGCTAGTAGTTTTTTGTCTACCTGTCTCTTTTTCAAGTACACTTCTCCTTCAGTACTCCCTCCACCCATTTCTGTCTAGCGACCTACCAACGTACCTACGTATGTGGACCGCTCTCGCCTGTGCACCCATTTCGAATACCACCGAGTTCATTCCATCGGATCCGATATTTTCCTCTCCTGCAGTCTATATTGCACCTGTCCACCCGTCCATCCTTTTATCCCTCCATCCTTCAATCCATCCATCCGTCCATCTGTCAATCCATCACTCCGTCAATCCGTCAAATCATCAAATCATAAAATCATCAATTTCAATCCATCAATCTGCCAGCTCATCCATCCATCCATTTATCCATCCACCGAGCTATCACATCCATCCGTCCATCCATCCATGCAGGCTGCTAGTCAGCTAGCCTATCCATCCATCTCTCTATGAATCTATCTGTATAACTGCTTATAGAAATCCAGTCGTTTGTTTCCATGTGTTGCCATATTACGATCTCTTGAAGCATAGCGAATGGTTCAAAAGAAAAGAAAAAGGCACCCATTTGTTTGATACCAAGACAGCAAGTAATCATTTGCATGGGAAGTTGCATGGAGGACATAATACTAACTTGCCTGTGAATTTCCTTCCACTGTACTTACGACTGACTCCGTTGAGCTGTCCAGTTATTGTCCTCCTGACCATCTGTCCATCTATCTGCACGATGAATTCCAGTCCTCTCTCAGCAGTTCGTTCTGTGTACGTATCCACCTAGCTGTCTCTCTATCCATTTATCTATCCTAGTATTTATCTATAGCCTGTAGGATTTTCCTCTGGATCACTTCATGTCTGTCCAGCTATGCATCTATTGCGTTGTAGGTCCTTGAGCACAGGCTCCTTTTCGAGCTGAATGCATGGATCGAACTCTGTACCTTTCAGAATGCTGTTAGAGATGCCCTGGGCAATTGACGGCCTCCCAGGGTTAGTTAATGCTGCTGCCTTGGACAGACTAAGAACGAGCCCCCGCCCAGGATGGAACGGGAGAGCATTTGTGAAAAGCAATTGACAGAAAACACAACCTGATCGTATGACGACAACTGTTGTCGAACTACCGTCTCCACCCGAATAGAATGCCCGGTCATTATCCCTGTCTGTATCTACACAAGTAACGGTATGATGCCCGGGCATTCTATTCGGGTGAAGATGGTAGGGGAGGAGCAGGAAATTCAATATACATGGGTGAAAAAGATTAGAGAACCATGAAAAACTGCGGGTAGTGGACAAGAGGATAGAGGACAGGTAGTATTACATTGCGACCGAGTTCCAGAGCACACAACCGGTGTCCAGAGCTTGCGCAGCGGACGTCTTACGTTCGTAGCTCAGTTGTTCTGCAGCATGTCACACTGTAGCTGTGGCCGGACCTGTTTTGGGACAGCGGCCATTACAATGCCCCATCCCTGGTTTAATGCAGCTGAAAGGCATGACATTGAATCCTTCCCGTGGCCCTAGATGTACGGCCTAGATTAGGTTCCAGTCTCTATCAATGGATGTGGGCGGACCATGCTTGGTAGACCTGGGCTGGCACTACTGGATAGATCATTCATTGGTCCCTGGTTGGTTCGGACTTTGAACTTTGAACGTGGGTGCCGATCGACCCGGTCCTATGCCACTGGGCCTAGAACAAATGTGAAGGCCCTAACCGCAACAGTCAAGCCCCCTGCACCCAGTTGTTGGAGGCTGGGAGGGCGCTCTTCGATACAGTGGGAATCACAGAGTTTCCACTAAGTCTTGTGGTGGAGTGTATACTAGGGTGACATTCGATCGGGGTAATGTCATGCTGCTGAGGCAGTGGTTCGTTCCAGTGTTGGACCAGGTGCTGACAATGGAAGCGGTTTGTTCCAGTGCTGGACCAGGTGCAGACAATGGAATAGTAACGGAGAGAACTGCTTTAGCAGAAGAGATTGGTAAAGGAAGTGGCAAACCGTCAGTGGGAAAGTGGCCGGGTGACAGACAGTTAGTTGGGCACTTGCTGCTGACTTTTCTTTGCATGGTGGCCATGAGCTGTATATGGCTGCGGGCTGATGTTCGAGCCATGCCTTGGGAGCGAAAATATGTTTTTGAACATGTGCGTTGTGTGGCTATATGTTCCAGGTTTCAGTCATTTACTGCTTTGATCCCGGTCATGGATTTGATACCTGTCATGTCAGTCCATCTTTTGCTACTTTTGATGACAACAGGCTTCACATTGTTGTTGTCACTCTCTGCCTTTCTGTTTGTCTGTCCGTCCATCCGTCTGTCTGTCTGTCTGTCTGTCTGTCTGTCTGTCTGTCTGTCTGTCTGTATGTATGTATGTATGTATGTATGTATGTTTCTCTCTCGCTGAAGGTATGCTTGCCTGGAAGGCATCATCCTGGTATAGTTATTCCAGCTCTTGTATGACTGGCTGTAACTCGGTGCCGCGACTTGAGAGTTAGGCATGGGAGTTACTGTCTATTGGCTGTTTCCCAGGCCGTAGAGATCTCTGTCTCCTTTTTCTCCTTTTTCTCCTTTTTCTTCTTTTTGTCCTTCTGCTTGCATTTGTGAAAAGTGCTTGCCCTTACTAACTGTTCCTTTGCGTGAACATACATATATCCCGTGAATTGACTATGCTAACCTACGTTTTTTTACGAGGACTGTCCAGATGGAGAGGGTTCCATGATTGGGGAGAGCAACACATCCGTTGGCTGTAGGAATCCTATTATAAAACTTACGTGGCATCTTGGGAGCAGAGCTTCGTGAAGCTGATGATGAGATTGAGAGAAGGTATGGGGTGGGAGAAGGTAGAGAGGACAAGCAGGAGAGGGCGCAGTGTAGCAAGCAAGCTGCTTCAGAACAAGGACGGTGTGAAAAAGGGGACTGGCCTGTGATTCTTGTCCAAGTAGGAAACAGATTCGCAAGCAGAAGGAGCGGTAAGACGAGGGGAAGGAACAGACTGCCTGTGATTCTATGGAAGAAAACGGCACGGACTGTGTGCCTAGAGTCTGCTAGAAGCGTCGAGTTTAGAAGAGTTGTGCAGTAGATGGGGATGCACGTGCAAACAGGTTGCAGCAGGAATTTGCAAAGATGCAGGTAGGGGAGGGGATCTTGCAACCTGAACAGGTGGGGCTGAGGCAGCAATGAAAGGGTCAAGGTGGCGACAGGCAGGCCACGGCGCGAGAGAAGTTCCAAGAACTCATTGGTGGCATCCCCTGACTTCTGATTGGGAAGATCTTTGCTGTACAGTTGGACATTAACGGGGCACATTGACTGACCAGTGATATTATTCTGGCCAGGAAGGAGGAGGAGAATAGACTCAATAGAGTAGTAACATTTCGGCAAACGGAGTAGGATGTGGATGGTGGATGAGACCATTCCTCGCGATTGGGACTCGGAAAAGCTGTGAGCGAGCGAACTGGGGTTTTGGATCTGGACGAAACAGGTGGTACACTTGGCTGTGTGTGTGTGTGTGTGTGTGTGTGTGTGTGTGTGTGTGTGTGTGTGCGGTTGAGGAAATTGAAGGCACATGGGGAAGACTGATGAGAGGAGCAGGCAGGCACCCCAGCTTCGTCTCCATAACGGTTGCATGGTTCTGAGGTGTGCGCTGGCGATCGTGTGCACCGCACACGATTTAGAAAGCTGTGGTGTGGGTTCTGCGAACCGGAAGTCATGAGCGGGAAGAAATTTTCAGCAGTGGCAGAGTCAATGTGAGCAGCGCATTCATCATCAGCATCAGCGTCAATGATGGGATGAAGCATTTTGTCAGCAAGGGGAATCTGTAGCGGTATCTCGGCATAAAAGCTGCGTGGGGAGCAGAGGGTGCAAGCACCTAGAGGGAATGCATAGCAGTTGGGTCCTGTGACTCTCTCGGATGTTTTGCAGAAAGCCACATGGGAAGTAGTCCGGACTGCTGGCAAGGAGGCAGCCCTACTAGCAAGAGTATTTCTGTGCCCGCTACCAGGAACCGTGTCCCTTTCAGGACAGTCAAGCTGCAAGAGCCATGTAAGAAGGTCAGGGTGAAGTGCCAAAAGTCTTGATTAGGAAAGGGGGTGCAGCATCCTGTCGCTCAAGCCGCATGTCGAAGCATTTCCCTCTTCTGTTGCTCTAGGTCCATGTTGACAAAGAAAACTGTCAGTGCCAAGTCTTGTTTGGCTGTAGCCAGAAAATTCATCGGGATAACGTGTGTGACACAGTGCAGGCTTATGGAGGCAGTTGTGGCGGAAGGTACGCTCCAGAAGCATGAACATGGGTGACGGACAGAGGAATTGGCTTGCTTCCACTGTTATTGTCCCGTGTGAACACACACAAAGGGGTTCACAGACGTTTATATCTGCTTGGTAAAAACGGCTGACAAGCCTGCGCTTTGCCGAGCAGCTGAGGGTGCACTTGGTTGCAACGCTTCTCGATGAATTCGAGCTGTTGAAGGGACTGCTAAACTTGAGCGATCGGGGGATGATCTGGTGGCTTGGGTGGGCGGTCCAGGAGACGATCCAGCTGCTGCATGGTGTAGTGCCTCTGGAAGGTCATGTCTTCTCTGCTATGACTGAAACGGGCCGGATTTACCCCATTTCGTGTCCTAGCATTATTCGTGTGAGAAGCATAATGTGCGGTTGTGCACCAACGATGGAAGTTTGAATGCCACTACAGTCAACGATACCAAACCTCCCCCTCTGCTGGATCTATTGCTAGGCACTTGTTGCCAAGGGCACATTCGACGTTGTCCTTGCAACAAGGTGCGAGTCGCAGGACCAGCACAGGCACTCAGTTAAGAGGGAATATGTCACTCCCTGTGTTGTATGGGGCAGAGCTTCGCATCCTCTGTTGGGCACTGCGACGGTGTGACCCAATCATTCATTCATTTAGGGTATCGTAATGTGTTTGGTGGCGATCTAGGACCCTGGGTTGCACTACCCGGTAGCTGTCAAAGTGGAAAGCAATTGGGGGCGACCAGCATGAGCTCGGAATTGGGAAGCCAAGTCGCGTAATCTGTCAAACGTAAAGTCGACGGTGTAAACTCTGAAGGGATAGGCCCTTTGCTCTGCGAGCAGAGCTGCAGCCAGCAGTCTTATGAACTCTACAAGTGTGTTGTTACTCCGTTGAGACAGACGAACCTGACAGGCATATTCAAAGTTGAAACGAGTTACGAGTGCAGGGAGTTGCTTGATTGATAGGTCGTGGTTTACCCGCAAAGTACGGTCTGCTCCCAAGGTTCAAGCCATGTGAATGACAAGACTGTCGCCATCGGAACTTGCGGCGCGCCATGATATAGAGCTCCCCACTGGAAAATAAGGTAAGCTGAAAGTAAAGCCAATTCGACCTTCCAGTGAGATTGTTGCAGAGTGTGCCTGTGCCTCTGTGTGTGTGTGTGTGTGTGTGTGTGTGTGTGCGTGTGTGTGTGTGTGTGTGTGTGTGTGTGTGTGTGTGTGTGTGGTTTAGTTATCTGGCATGGATCATGTGGAGCCCACTTCTCTATGTCTTCTCTTTGGTGCTTCAGAGCTCGAAAAAAGTCTGTTTATATCAATTGGGAGTAATGTATACCCTCTCAGATTCTTTGAAGCTCAGCTAGCTGTATCTGTGGAAGGAAATCTCAACCAGAACCGACTGTGCAGGTTGCACAGATTCTGTCATGATCTTCTTTTATCGCAATGGTAATCCTCATGCCTCTCTTCGTCTTTTCTTTTTGTTTTGTCTTTCAGCTAGCAAATAATAATCACCATGAAATGTAAAGATCAGCACGATGCCATGAAAGTTATGGGAGGAAGATCGCCATAACAGCTTGTTGGCATGCTTTGGGAACAATCCTTTTGTCGCAATCCCACGATGTCAATTCTAACATGGAGAAACATATTCACAACTACAGATAATATCATAGCAACTTGAAATGAGCAGGTGGTTCAATGTTCATAGGTGTTGTCGTGCCGGAGCTGTTGCGTCTGTTCCCACAGGCGGGTGACATTGGACTCGATGATTGGAGTTTATTCTGTAGCTGACTTTCATATCTCACTCTCGAATCTCTTGAAATCGCTAGGAGGCTTGAACCCTCACATGATGAGGTGTCACCGGTTGCATTTGCAGGTGAGGGCCTCGCCACTCGACTCTCACACTCACTCCCGAACTTGAAACGAACTTGAAACGGAATGAAGAAACCGAGATGTGCGCCAGATGTTCAGTTTTGGGAGCACTCTCGGACTCCGTTCAAGCCGCTCCCCTGCAAAACCCCCATTTCGAGAGACCTCCGCCTCCCTGCGCCTCCCTTTGGCAGCCTCAGGTTGGGACGGACAGACTCTTGTCCTCTCCTCGGCCCGGTTGTCTTTTCCCAACGGAGTTTTGAGAGCTGCGCCATTCGTGAGTGCAGTGTGGTGACGTGCCTCAAATTCGCGAGTTTTTTTGCACTCTCTAGAAAGTCTGACAGCTCTCAAAAAAATTCCCGATTCCTGTTTTCGAGAGTGGCATGGCAAGGCCCAGAATCATATTGACTGGTGCAGCATCCTTCACCCTTGTGTGCACCTCTTAACAGTTTTTCAATTATGAACTTCAATTGGGCGGAGACAGCCGGGTATGTCCAAGGCCTAAGAATATTGATCCCCCCAAAAAAGAAGAAAGGCCGGACATTGGGAAATAAATCTGAAGTTGGTTTTGATAAACAAGCCATGCGGTAGATTTACAGTTTTTTTGTTTTTTTTAAACCACACCTTTCACAGGCAAACACAAAGTCCGTCTTGTAGCCTATGAATTAGTTGGAAATTCGTGGGCTCGGGGCAGGGCCGGCACTGGACGCTGAGATTCAAATAAAATCATCATGAGAAAAAAAAAGAAGAAGTATCGGACAGCTACTACATCCGTGATGTTGGGGAAGGCCACATGCATTCTGGAAACTATAAGTGCTACTATGCCCTATGCCCTCACGGAGGGCATAGTAGTTTCCAGAATGCATGTGGCCACTATTAGGGGAACATGAGTTACACGAGTATTATTGCTTTCTCTTTGTTTGTTTTTTTTTTTGTTTTTTTTTTGTTTTTTTTTTTTAATTCTTCTTTTTGCTTGTAGTGCCCTGCCAGAGAGGCAGGGCGTAATTCACGGGGGGCAGCTACGCCCTCACTGAGGGCGCAATCACATTAGCACTGGAGCGTCGTGTATCTGACCGCTATCTGACCGCTGTCTCGGTCTGACGTCGTCACTGAGGACAATATCGCACTAGCACTTCATAGAATGTATGTGACAGCAATCATGGGTTAAGGATGCTTTCCTTTTTTTTTTTTTTTTTTTTTTTTTTTTTAATTTGGACCTTTCTCGATTTATGCGTGTCATCCTTGCGCAGGGGCCATGCTAATCTTCTTTGTATCGTTCCAATTTTAACAGATGTCCCGAAGGACAGATGCTTTCCTTTTTCTATTCGTCTTTTTTAAAGTTTTTTTTCTTTTTTTCTTCTTCTTTTTTATCGGTACCAGAACAGAAAAACGAGATGGTGCTGTGCAAATGCCAGGTTTGGCAAAACTCGATGCTCAGTGTTAGGGCGGCTTGGCAAAAAGAGGGTCGGGAGGTAGTGGTGGTTTAATAGGAGTACTAGACCAACATCGTTTTGTCTTTTTTTGTTTGCTTTTCATTGATTTTTATTCGATGGTCTGTGGACGTTGGGCTCTGACAGGATGCTGGGGTGCATCTATTCTATTCTCAGAAGAACCTTTTTTGTTTGGCCCCGCGGCACTGGGCCTGATGTAAACACACAAGTGTTTTGTTTTGGGAAAATGAAGGCAAGGTCCGAACCCGTTGTTAAGGGCGCACTTTTGCTGAGATAGATACTTGTGGTTTAAACCACCAGTACTTCCTAGAGTCGTGCCCGTTAACGTGCCACGATTTTAGGAAACGTACGGGCCACTACAGGAGCACCCAAATTCATCCGACTTTCTACTCTCTTTTTTTTTTTGCGGCCGAGTGGTTTAAGTTCTCCTATCTCTTCAGAGTGTTTTTTACGAGCTAGGGCATACTCACACTCAGCAGTACTTTTCCTAAACAACTGGTCTGACCGCAATTGCGGCCAGACCTGCATGAATCTGACCGCAATCCTGACCAGAGCGGGGTAGAAAAAAGTCCCAAGTCCTAGTGTGAGCATCGTCACTTTCGAAACCTTGGAGATTTTCTGCTTTTTTTCAGAGAACCTTCAAACAGACCTTGAAAATTTTCGAAAGGTGTCAGAAAAAATTGAGAGTCCGGTCCTCGAGCGCACACAGTCCTCAAGAGACAGCGACTCTCAAATTTGAAGATCACTCTCGAACGTATGCCGAGAAAGACCTGGACCTTTTTGGCTTTTCCTTCGCTTCGTCTTTTTTCTATCTTTTGTGTGTGTTTATTCCCTCTCCCTTTTACTTTTCACCGATTACGAGTGGGCCGTCGTGGCGCTACGCAGATGCCAGCAGCTCGTGCTCTCATCTTCGTCAACTTGGTGAGCCTGTTACATGAGAGGCACAGTCAAGGGGGAGCTGAAAGAAGAAATAATCAAGGAGGCAATAACAAGGAAAGGAAGGAAGAACTGCATAGGAAGAACGCGTTCAGTGTGCTCTTCACAATTTTTCTTGTGTGTGTTTATCTTTTGTTCTGGGAAGTGGGCTCTTTTAGCTCTACAGATATTTGACAATATATTATGTATCTAATACTATATATATTATGTGACAATATATTATTAAGGGCCCTGTGCGGAAGGCAACACATTTAGAAAAAAAAAGTAGAAATACAAAATTGTCAAACCCAAAAACCATATGTCAGGGGGTGACTGATCTAACCAAGGCCTGCAGCTCGCCCCTGTATGCACTGTTCAGCCATGGATCACAATCGCGTCGATTCAAACAAAAACTAAAAGCAAAAAACATTCTCTAGTGCGATATACCGCCTATCTATCCACACAGCACACCTCCCACTCCCAAAGCAGAGCCCACTCCATATTTGGCAAAAAATGTCAGAAAGAAAAGGGTTCGGAATACTTATGAACCTTCTCGCCTGTTACCCTCCAGAGCCAGCGTGTATCTGTTAATTGCCTAAAATAACTATGAAGCCAGCGTCAAGCCCGACATGTAAAGCCTCAATTCCGGAGGAGGTTCTCTTTACATCACTGGGATAGAGGGCTTGCAGAAGGGTATTTCGGAGTGTGTGGGGGTGTTGGGGGGGGGAGGGAACAGTCAACGACAACGAAGGTGACTCAATGATAAGAAATCTAATTACCTTTCAAACATCAACCAAAACGCCTCGACTCCATCTGGTGGGCCCTGATTTGCCAAGCAAGCTCAACAGGAAAACGGGGAATCATCCTATTTCCTCGTGTCTCATCCACCAAGCGAGCCAGAAACAAACATGGAAAGAACCGTGCTTGGGATTGGTTCCGGAGCTTCCATATTGCCATCTTCCCACGAACACAACGCACCCTCGTTTCGGCGGTACCTGACCAGAAAAATAGCTTGTATACATTCATTATCAGGGTGAGTTATGGTCGAATAAGTCTCCTGTGGACCCCTGGTTCGGGTGCGTCAGCCACAATTAAGGGGAAAACGGAGAAAGCAGCATCCAATAACACAGCCACACCACTCCTGTCCTTTCTTTCTTATCAGTTCTATCTGCTACCACTCAATCTGACACAAGTAACCACAAAGAGTGCAATGAGAAGGAAAAAAAAGAAGAAGTGTCCTGGTAAAACACAGCCACACCACTCCTGTTACCTCTCGGTCTGACACAATATCGGATGTTGTCAATATAATATCGGGTGCTGTTATCGGATATTGACGACAAAAGAGTGCAATGAGAAGAAAAAAAAAAAGGAAGAGAAAAGTGCAAACCACTTCTCATCACCCGAAAAGCAAAGCCATTGTCCTGATTCCTCGAACCAATCACCGAATGTGCAAAACGAGAATGAATCTTCCGCTATAACATGGGAAGATGCACCGCCTCTTTTGAGCATGCGGAGAGTAGTGGAGTGAGGTGCCAAATTCGTTGTCACAATAGCTCGTCTCGTCTTAGTCATCGCATCGAACATATCCACTTGAGCTTTCCCCATCACATCAGCAAGCCATTGGTCGGAGAACCAAGTCACTGCAGTGATGGTCGTAACGAAATCCAGGACTTGAATCCCCCTGGCCGGCGTGAAAATAAAACCAGTTGCTCTCATGATCTCCGCATCTAAGGCCAGCGACACAAGCAAAGCACTCCAGTCCTGGCTCCATATCAAGTCTTAAGAAAAAGAACGCACCAAGAAAATAACACCATCTCAGCACACAGCACGCTGCACCCACCTCCAATGCATGCAACAACAGCATGCGTCAGACACACCCTGTGCCCAGCATGTGTGACCACGACCGTCATGTGCAGCTGAGCTGGCCAGGTAGGGTGCTATAGGCTGGGATGACTCCCAAGCCCTTGTGCCAGCAACGTCGGGCATGTAGCGCAAGGTCACTGGAGCGACTCGCCGCCACCACCACTCTCCTTTGACAAATGAGTTTCTGTTTTTTTCACTTTTCTCCCCGTGTACTGCAGGGGTCGTATGGGCGCAGGGGCCGCATGGGTAGAGCCACACCATCATCCCCTCGCTAATGGAACCGTGACCCCTGTTTCGTTTTTTGGGGGGCCACCCAGACGGTGCACGGTGTGATTGGCGTTTGGCTGGTAGGGCCTGAGGTCGAGCTGAAAGAAAATATACCGCATGGGAACCATTTCTGGATTCGTTTCGTGTCATGCTTGCACGGGGTGGTGGCAGCGGGTGGGCTCGCTAAGGCACCATGGCTGCTCGCCCGATGCAATCAACCACGCTGCCCTTACCCTGTCAGAATGTCGGCCCGATCCCGTGGATTGATGATTTGCTCGAATGATTGGGGGCACCAAGTATTTTCCAAGTCGGGCCACCATTCGACTTAAAGTCGGGCGACCATCAAGATCGTTATAAGACCGCATTCAAGATGTGGTATGGGCATTTCGAGTGACTAGTCGTGTCATTCGGACTCACACAATGCTAGGCCGCCTTCCAAGCGGCAATGACGACGGAGTTTTGTGCCATGTTGGATCGGTTCGTGCTCATATACCTCGACGACATCGTGGTGCACCGTGGGATTTTGGACGAGCATGTCGAACACTTTTGCACTGTCTTGGGTCGACTTTGCGAGGCCAAGTACAAGGCCAACCGCAATAAGTGCGAGTTCGATCGATAAGAGCTCAAGTACTTGGGCCACTACGTGTCACCGCAAGGCGTCAGACCGCTCACGGGCAAGATTTATGTCATTAAAGTATGGCGGACAAGATTCATGTCATTCAAATATGGCCCGAGACCACCAACACCATGAAAGGCCGCTCTTTCATGGGATTGGCCAGCTACTATCAACGCTTCATTAGTAGTTACGCATGGATTGCTGCACCCTTTGGCACAACTTCAGTCCACAACGGTCGCCATTCGAGTTCAACGATGAAGGATGAGCTGCATTCCGGACCCTCAAGACGGCTATGCTCGTGGCACCCGTATTGAGCATATGCGACCCCACCTTGCCCACTTGTGTGACAATGGACACTTCCAAGTATGGCATTGGTGCAGTTTTGGAGCAACATGACGGGGACAATTGGCATCCGCCAAGAAGTCTCTCCCATCAATTCATTTGGTGATGCGAGGAAGGAGCTGCTGGCCTCCGTCACGGTACTTGAGAGCTGGCGGCACTTCCTCCTCGGGCGTTGAAGGTTCAAGTGGATGAGCGACAACAACCCGTTGCATTCACCTGGTTCAACGTCGAGCTTCAAACTCATGATGTGTTTTTCGGTCTTCTTTGTTGACAGTTAGATGCGTGTGCCATTCAGCCACATGGGCTGAGGGCACTGTGTGCTTTCTGTTGCAGCAACCACGAAAATTGTTATGGCCAGGGTGCAACTGTTATGCAGTTCTGGTAAGATGTGATGGTGTATATGCATTTGGGAAGCATAAGGGCCCTCGGCCAGGAAAGAAGGGGCTTGCGCCCGCTCGGTGGAAACTCTGTGCCTGCCTTCACCCCTCAGTGAAGGTGGGCCTGTCCAAAATTCGACGGGGCCCTTGAGGCCGGCACGGGCCGGAAAGGGGCCCATGGCTTGGTTGCTGCATGCAGCATCTTCAACCAACCCTCGCCCGGTCGGTTGAAGGTGCTGAAGGCCAGCAAAGATGCCAAGGCCCAGGGCTCTTTCAGTTGAGCCCCAGGCACAATCTGGAAGGGCCCTGGGCGGGAGTAGCTACTGGGGCAGAGGCCGGTCGTCCAGAGCCTCCCTCGCCCAGCCAGTCACACGCAAAACGAAGTGAGGTAGCCTCACTTCAGACATTCTGGCTGGCTGGATGGTGGCCACGCTGCTTGAGCGCTGGCTTGCATGACGAGGGCACCAGGCCAGGTGGAATAGGGCGCTGGCGCTGCACGGGGAAGAAGCTGCATGGGTGCAGATGGAGGGTGCAACAGCCATCGCCGAGCTGCCCCCCCCATAGTTGAAGCTGGTTGAGCGGAGGTCCTTGGGGGAGGGACTGTGAGAGTGGGGAAGTCGAGGAGTGGGCGATGTGAGAAGGCGCTTACCTGCGGTGATAAGCAGGCTGCATCGTTCGGGGTCCTCGTGTTGTCATCGGACTGCTATACTTCATGCAGACCTGTTGTAGTAGACAGGAAGTCTAGGTCGATAGGCGTGGTCTGATTGAAGCCTGGGCCCCAAGTGCCCAGTTGGAGAGCGGCATTGTGGACATTTTGGTGTTAGGTGCGGGAAGAGGGCTTTCGTTATCAATTGAACTTCGGTGCTTTGCTCTTTGTGATTTGGTGTTCTCTCGTGGTGCAATCTGCTTCTAGTTTGAGCACAAAGTGATCTGACTTTCAATGGAATGGTGCAAGTTGGTTTATTTCCGTTGGCATTGCTCATTTTCCTCGCACATTTTATATCACTTTTAAGTTTTAATACTTTTTATTATTTTATATTAGTCTAATGAATTTCGGAATCTGTACCTTTGTGCTTTGTGTTCTTTTTTTCTGCAGAAGGGACGGATAAGATTCTTTTCTTCTGATGTTATTGCATCTGCCAGGTGGACCAGTATGTCCTCCACAAGATATTGTTTCGATTATTCTTGTTGATGAATGGAACGGGAACTGCTTGACGCCTGCTGGTTGGATCCAGGACACCGGTACTTTCTGCAAGCCTCTCAAATGCTCTATTTATTTATTTTTTCAAGAATTTTCAACGTCTAAAGTTGAAATATTCTTGTGTACGAGTGTAGTTAGAAGTCTTCTTTCCCCATCAACTGATTCCATATGTACATATAACGAGCTCATTCTACTGCAGCTTGTGCAGACTCTCTCTCTCCTCCCCCCCCCCCCCCCCCCCCCCCCCCC